ACAGAGGATTATTCCCAAAGTACACCGTAAAAGTACTTCAGCAGCTGAATTGAAAAAACAAACTCGAGAGACGGCTGAGGTGACCGCAGTGCAGAATCGCTGTAGTTTAAATCTCCTAACAATGTTGTCCATTTTAGACACAGGCTTATTATATTTAATTACAGCCCTTAATAACACTCATTCTCTGGGCTCAATATCTGTCTTGGCCGTTTTCGTTGTGATCGCTAAATTCACCTTGTTTCCCCTTGTTTATAATATTTTCACCGTTCCACACACGAGTGCTTTTGTTTTGAAATCACTTCCGTGAGTTTCACCCACCCCGCCCCTCGCTCCATTAGACCACCATTTGACCTTTTAGTAAGGTAAAAAGCAAAAACGCCTCTCAGACGCTCTTCCGTTTTCTTGTTTAATAAAGAAAAACAATTGGACGGTAGATACACGGATTTTTAAGACATGTTGTTTTGTTTTTTCGTAATTTACGGCATTCATTAATATTGTTTTGAAAACGTCAACAAAAACGTCAATTGTGGGATACAGTGAGCCGAACATGGCAACCATGAAGGAAAACAGGAAGTGATCGCTGGCGGGAAATTCGTTGCATGTTATGAAAGCGTATCACAACTGCTGAAGGCTTTTCATGGACTAGTTAGCTAGTTCACTGAATTAAATCGAATGTACAAGATCAAATTAAGCTTAACGACAAATAGAGGTAACACACTTGTAATTTGCCCATTTAGTTTATCAAATGTAACATTTTGCTACAGTAACAACAAGCTTGCTGATGTACACAACAACAGGTGATTTCTTCCTATCTCTACGTTTACGTTACCATACTCTTGTGTTTTTTTTTTACAGATTAATCATGAAGGATGACATGGATAAAATCGTCAGTCTGTCAGATGGAGACAGAACCGTCGAACTTCAGAAATACCTGTCGTCCCTCTCAAATGACCAGGTAAAGCTAAGTTGCCCACCATATTTAAAGTTATAAATATAGTTAAAAATAATTCTGGCAGTGTCGGTTTGCTCACGAAACACTTCCCTCTGTTTTGCCTGCTTTCTAGTTAACCACCGTGTTAACGAATGGTGCCCTAAAGGGTAAGAAGGTCGGAACCATGATAAAAGGCATATTTAAAGGTAAGTTAATGAAATACACAAGTGGAATAAATGTCCACAACACAATTACTAGGCTAACACTATCATATATCTGTATTAAGAAGCATTAAACATAATTTTAAAATACCTCTATTGTGTGCTATTTGTTTAGGCTCTCCATCCAGTTCCACTGAAGGATCTACCCGCAGACTTCTTGTCTATCAACACTGCATCCCTCTGTGTGAGTCTGGGGATCTTCAGACTGAAGTGGCAGCTGATATCATTGGACTGCTGATGCTGGAGGTACCAAAAAGTTGATATATTCTGCTTTTATAGAGCATCTATTTATACAAGACACCAAGCATGTTACTATTAATATTAATGTATGTCCATTAGGTGGACTCGCATGTACTAGTTCACACTCTGTACTTGGTCTTTTCAGGGACTTGAACCGGCGACCCTACCAAGCCAAGTCCCTACTAATTGTGTTACTTCTGACCCATAGACAATTAGATCAATAATGTTAAATAAACTGTCCAGATTGTGTTTTCACTGTGCTTAAAACGTTAGTCCTTCAATGAGAAGTTAAATAAAAACCTCTCAATTCTAATGTCTGTTACAAGCTCTCTGCACTGCAAAAAAAACGACTGAAACGTTGATTGATACATCATCAACATAAGACTAAAATATCCTTACACCAAACCTACTGATTAAAACCACATTGCTTGGGAACATGCCGAATTACTCTACCTTCCTCTATTTCTTATACATTTTAATCCAAAAATATAAATGCTTGACTCCTGTGCTGAGTTGCTGTCCCATCTGTGTATGCGTTTCTTAGATTTTAAAAATGTCTCTACATATTGTGTCTCCATGCCTTTTCAATTTGTCCGGCATCTGTCTAATTGCTATTTTTGCCTCTCACAGACTCATACTCTGCCCGGACCCTCTCTTGCAAAACTGGCCTCTCTTTTTGTTGAAGCCATTAAGGTGGGAAAAATGGGCAGTGGGAAATCCCTGGAGCTTTTTCCGACTGTGCTGACTGCCCTCTCAGCCTGTGAAGCGTTGTCCTATGGAAAAGGTACGTGCAAATTGGTAGCCCTGGTAACTTGGTCATTTATTAGTTAGTTGTGTAATATACAACATTTTAAATATGACAAATCGGTTTCTCTTGCGGTTGATTGTTATTTGATCATAACTGTAGGTGAGCTCAGTGGGGAGGAGTACAAGAAACAGCTGATCAACAGCCTGTGCTCCAGCAGGTGAGCACAAGTCAGACCTTTTACTATATTCACATGTGCAATTTTACACAAGTTTCTTTGGGGTTCTTGACAGTATTTACAATGTAAAAAAATGAAGTTAAAAATAATAGTTAAGCCAAAACCTTTTGATATGGGACCTTAAACAACAGTATTGCAATTGTTGGATGTGTGTATCTCTTTTCCTGCAGATGGGACCCGCAATGTGTCATCCACTTGACGACCATGTTCAGGTAAAACCTTTGACTATCAGAGCGTCACATTCTCAGACATTTCAGACTCTTTAATACGTCTGTTAAAGAACCGTATGTTTATTTTTTGCTTTTTATAAAGTTCTACAGTGACATAACAATGTTTGATCTGCTATTACTCTTGTTGTGCTGCCTCTCAGGACATGCAACATTTATAAACCATGTTTTTGTGTCACACATTTTAGGGATGTACCCCTGTCATCAGAGGAGCTGCAGTTTCTGGTGGAGAAAGTCCTGAGGATGTTCACTAAGCTGGACCTGCAGGAGATTCCACCACTGGTTTATCAGCTGCTGCTTTTATCCGCAAAGGTGTGTGTATATACACTGAACAAAAATATAAACGCAACACTTTTGTTTTTGCTCCCATTTTTCATGAGATGAACTCAAAGATCTAAAACATTTTCTACATACACAAAATAACCATTTCTCTCAAATATTGTTCACAAATCTGAAAAAATCTGTGATAGTGAGCACTTCTCCTTTGCCGAAATAATCCATCCCACCTCACAGGTGTGGCATATCAAGATGATGATTAGACAGCATGATTATATTGCACAGGTGTGCCTTAGGCTGGCCACAATAAAAGGCCACTCTGAAACGTGCATCTTTGCTTGTATTTGGGGGGGTCTGGGGGTTCCGAAAACCGCAGTATCTGGTGGAGGGTAGGTTTGGGTAATGTTGTGAGTGGCCCATGGTCGTGGTGTATTGGGTTACTGTAGGGCAGGCGTATGTTTATGGGGCGATGAACACAGGCCAGCTCGATCACAACTTACTGCCTAACCCTAACCCTGAATCCCTCACACAGATACTTGGACTGGTTTTCGGAGCCCCCCAGACCCCCCAATATAGCAAAAATGCACGTGTCGAGGGCCCTATTGCGGCCAGCCCTAGGCCACACCTGCGCAAATAATCAGCTGCTAATCAGCATCTTTGATATGCCACACCTGTGAAGGGTGGGTAATGGATTATCGTCGCAAGGAGAAGTGCTCCACTATCACAGATTTGCAGATTTGTAAGACAATATTTTGAGGAGGAAATGGTATTTGGTGTGTATAGAAAATGTCCAATTCTATGAACATAAATTGGGAGAAAACCAAAGTGTTGCATTTATATTTTGCTTCAGTGTATGTTGTAACAGGCATAACGTGGTAATCATCACTCCCTCTGTGTTTTAATGGTGTAAATGCCTGCCCTGGACTACCCTCACAGGGTTGTAAGAAAACAGCTCCCTGGATGGAATCATCTGTTATTTAAAAGAGCAAGCAGTTTGTCACCAGGAGAGAGCAGGAAACACGGAGAGTGAAGTGGGCTCATAACCCTGGCAAGTTGAATGGCATTTAATCAAATTCATACTGACTTTACTGGTGTTTCTCAGGAAGCCGGGATCTAGAGGTCAGTTATCCTCTAGGACCAGTTGGGGCATGTTGGGGCACTGTGATCTCCACATTAGTCTTTTGCTTATAAGACTCGACCTGGAACTCGGAGAGGGAAGAATTCTTAAAACCTTCAAGGTTTGTGTGAAACTCATCCGTCTGTATTTTCTGTTAGTTTTCTAATTGTTTGCATTTTTACGTAAAATATCCATAAATCTTGAAATCACAGACTCTTCGGGACCTGTGCCCTTTCAGTGTGCACTGTTGCTCTCAGGTGGCCTCGCATTTCAGCGCTTATGAAGGCAGGTGAGGCATCTTATATTATTTTCCGTTATACTCATTTTGGAGTTCTTTATTTTCCGTTCCACTTATTTAGAGCCTTTTTGGGGAATTTTTTAAGAGAGGGTGTTTGACCTTTTGAAGGGGGTCAAGTCGTCGAAGAGTTCAAGATGAGCAGCTGCAGGCAGGGGTCCAAGTTCCTGGCAGGACCTTCTGCCTGGGCCTGCAGACGGGATTCACAGTCCCGGACCCACAGCAAAAACAGGGTTCGATGCAAGCCGATGTTTTAATGTACTGTGACCATGGTGCCAAGATGCAGATCTCACATTTTCCAGGGACCACAGGTTTTGTAGGTTAATTTCTTCCCCATGATTTTCCACCTCGCAGCGTG